GGCTGAGCCACCGAGACCGGCTCACCCCCTATATTTTTTTAATAGATTGAGTTAATTCCATATTTTAGTCTCCGGCTCTGGAATTCTTTCTTCTGCTTTCCATGCTTGTCAGTTTGTTATTTATTTCTTGGATGGAGTTCTTTATTTCTTTTTTTTTAATTTTTAAGACGTGGGGTACAATTCAGGATTAGGTATACAAGTAGACATCATACAGGTAAAATTTGGGCCTCTCTTTGGTCCCCACTTGGTCTGGTTTGAGATCAGTGACTCTTACTGATGTTGGGTCCTCACCTCCACCCAAGCAGTATCTCACTATTGCCAATCCCTTTCTTATAGTATTATAGTAAATGTTCAGGGTCTGCTTATGAGTGATATTTTCATTATTTTTAAGTATGCTTTCTTGAGCCTGTTTAGCAATTTCACTTAGTTTCTTGATTTTTTTCATTCTCTCCAGTGATTCTCTGATCTCCATAAGTACCTTCTGGGTACTGTCATTCTAGGAGATAGCCATTCTTTGTTCCCCAGTAGCTGTTCTTTTTAGCACTAACTATTTGCTGGTACTCTGATAGTTACTGGCAGTTTTTTGCTGGTTTTTCTTCATTTGTAACAGTTCTCTTATCCTTCCCTTTAATTCTGTTGCTCAGTGGAAAATGGAGAAACAGTCACTTCTGATATTTGCTCTACCTTTCATCCTTCCTTGAGGTGGGGCTCTGGGTTTGCTCAATTATGAAGTAAGGCTAGGGATGGGGCATTGTGCTATCTCCTTAAAATCTTAAGCACTTATTTGGGGAGGGGGGCTGCCAGGATTCTGAACCTATTGGCAGGTCATAATGTTTGCTATCTGGTGAATGGGCCAGCTAGGACTTGCTCTTCATCTCTGCACAATATAACTTTACAGTAGATATGCTTGCATAGCTCCTGAGTAAAAGACAGGGTATTAGAGGGAAAAGAGAGAAAAAAGAGAAAGGAAGAGAAAGAGAGAAAAAGAGGAAAGATAAATAGAAAAAGAAAAAAGAAAGAAAATCATAAAAAACAGAGAAAGAGAAATGGAAGAAGAAAAGACAAGAGAAAACCAACCAACAAAGCAACCAAATGAGATAATCGAGCAAACAAACCAATACCCCCCCAAAGAAAACAAATAAGCAAAACCAAAAAACAAAAACAAAAAAGAGTTGATAAAGGGTTCTCAGCTTTAATATGTCTCTTTGAGAGTTGGGGCTTCCTCTTGTGATGAGTTCTGTGACTGCAGCACTGTCAATGCAGGTTCCCTATTTGCTGCGGGAACTTAAGATCTTTAGAATGTTCACCCCCTGCTGCCTGCAATTTGTAGCTGTTGCACACCTGTGTGAGGAAAGGGGACTGAAATAACTTGACACAGTATCTCAGAATCTTACCCCTTTCCTTCCTTTCCCAGCTTTGTCACAGCTCCCAAGTTATCCAGTTCACAGTAGGGGAATGGGGCCTCCTGTCTCTGTTCTGCCCTCTCGATATCTTTCACTTGCTGCTAGGGACTGGGGAGAGTCAGTTAAGTACTCACCAACCTTCTTCTCAAGGCAGTTCTGCTGTCTGCATCAATCGCTCAGCAACTGGCTCAGGGTGGAGGGTGGATCATCTGGGGGTTCTGCATCTGTGGTTATCAACCAGGGATTGTGCACTGGGGACAATGTTCTCTGAAATTGCAAAGAGCAGCCCCAATGCAACACAGAGATAGTGCCTGGTCTCGAGATGCAGTTCTGTTGTTCAACAGAGGCTGCCCTGGAGCACTTCTCTGCCTAGGCATTAGAGAGTCTGGTCAGTTTCTCTGCCGGCTGCTGTTCCTGTCACCAATGGAGTAGATAGATCCTTCTCCAGCAGTCACCACAGTCTCTGGATCTCGGGAATGGTGGCAAGACTCTGGAGCCCAATCCAGGCTTGGGTGACTTCTCCCCGCTATTTCTTGGGACTCTACCTCAGGCTTCCTCGCTGCATTCCCTCCTCAGCCCTCACTGCCAGCATTTGACCTGGCACTGTGGTGTTGGGTTTGGCAATCACTCCATTTATTCTTCCTAGGAAATGCTCTGCTGATTTTAGAAAATAGTACTCAGCTTCTGCACTCTGGGAACTGCTAGGATCCAAGTAGAGCAGCTGTGGCACTAGCGGCTTTACCAGGAGACCCCCTGATCACTTGCTCTCGAGTCCCTACTCGGTCAGCCTCTCATACTCCCACTTATACACAGAAATACACACAGAATCCATACAATCACTCACACACACAGGGACTCACAGTCCAACTGCTTACACTGCCATCTCCCCTCATAATGTTTTTCATAGCAGGTGTACCATTTTATATTTCCAAATGTAGTACACAAAGGTTCCACTTTCTCTAACTCTTTGCCAAACTTGTTATTTGTGTGTATGTGTTAGCTAATAGCCATCCTAGTGAGCATGAAGTGATATCTCATTGTGGTTTTAATTTGCATTTCTCTAATGACTACTGATGTTGAGCATCTTAGAAATTTTACTATTCAAGTCTTTTGCTCATTTTTCAGTGGGTTGAATGTCTTGTTTTTTAATTGTAAGAGTTCTTTATATATTCTGCATGTTAATATTTGGTCAGATGTGATTTGCAAATCTTTTCTTTCATTTTTAGCAATTGTTTTTCATTCTGTTTTTGTGTACTTTTGTGCACAGATTTTTAAAATTTTTTTATTCTTCTTTATTTTATTTTTATTTTTTTGTAGAACCAGGTTCTTGCTATGTTGCTCAGGCTGCTCTTGAACTTCAGGCCTCAAGTGATCCTCCCACCTTGGCCTCCCAAAGTGCTGGGATTACAAGTATGAGTCACCATGCCCAGCCCTAGATTAAAAAAAATTTTTTTTTTTTTTTGAGTAGGAGTCTCACTCTGTCACCCAGGCTGGAGGGCAATGGCATGCTCCCAGCCACCACATCCCTGATCTGCTGGGCTTAGGTGATCCTTCCACCTCAGCGTTCCAAGAAGCTGGAGCTACAGGCACAGGCCACCATGCCCAGCTAATTTTTT